ATGTTGGAATAGAGTTCTCATCGCTCCTTTCAGGAGGATCTAGAAAAGGTTCCCACCGTCGCACGGTTATAAACAGTATCAGGTGGTGGGAGGTGGTTTCTGTCTGAATTCAGCAGGTGATCAGCTTTTCCACTGGGGTCCTTTGGGCAGCAGTACTGTGCACAGATATCGGACACAGCAATGAAGAACTCAGGGGTACAGGTAGGCTAGATGGTGCTGCCGTTAACACTGGCCTCGACACCCCTTTCTTGGGATCTCTGAACAATAAGGAAAAGAGCACGACACCCCCTCCTCTCAGTACATCCGCTGCCAGTACCGCCTTCAGACCCAGTCAAGAGGGCTCTCTGTGCTGGCTGTATCCCTCCACAATGTAGAGTCTGCGGGGCCAAGTGAGCATGCCCACCCAGAGCCCTACCTCTATTTCTTCATCTTCCTTCTGCAAAGATGTCTCTGAGTCTGCTTCCTGACTGTCTCAGGCCTCTCCCCTCTTTGCTCAGTCTGCCCTCCTGAGGTCAGCCTTGCACCCTCCTATGGCCCAGGGAGACTGACTGTACGGACCAGGAGGTGTGGGCAGAGTTGGATGTGTGGGCTGGGGACCATCCACCTGGGTACATGGCTGCTTGCCACAGGGGCTGAGCCAGGAGCCAAAGGAGAAGACGGGTGGGCTCTCCCTGCACCTCTAGGCATTGCCACCATCTGCTCCGAGCAGTCCCAGAATTCTACATTTGGACCTGACCTTTCAGGTCATCATGAAAGTCTGTTTGTCCACTGGAGGCTAAAACATATTTAACAGCTTGTTTGCTTGACAGAACTCGCAAGTAGTTAATTGCTATTATGACAAACCCAAATCCTTTGATAATTTAATAATAGGTTCTGTGATATTTAATAATAGGTCCAGTTTTTAAGTTGCTCTTAGGCTCTCAAGAGCCTGAAGGGTAAAATGATTTCTTACAAATCCACAAACTTCAATGAATACTTAAAAATATCTAATGACTGCAGGTTTTCAGTGTTTTTGCTGAAAGAAAATGATCTATACTAAAATGTTGTATGATAGTACTCTTTGAAAAGAAGAAATAATATACTTCTGTTTGGGGATTCATTCACATTGGAAAATTAGTAATTAAAACAGAAGCAGTCGTCTAACAGCTAAAGCTAGACATACAGCTCACAGGCCTCCGGGGGCGCTCTCGCCTCGGCTCTGACAGTGTCAGGACAAGGCTGTCCTCTATCTACCTGTTGAAGTTCTAACCCCTCAGGACCACCTTGAGTCCAGGACTACCTTGAGCCCGGCTTCCTTCTCAGAGGCTCAGAGCAACACTGTACAGAACAGGGCATCGAGTGGCTGCTGAGCACTGAAAATGTGGCCAGTGTGACTAAACTCAATCTTATTCAATTAATTTTATTTCAATTCAGTTTTTAAAATGGAAGCAGTGTGATATTTTAAAAAAAAATACCTATTACATGTTAAAATGATAGTACTTTGGATAGACTAGGTTAAATCAAATTAATTTCACCTTTTCCCTTTTACATTTAAAAGAAATGGTTACTAGACAATTTTAAGTCATGTATGTGGCCGACACGATATTGGAAGGTGTGGGCTGAGCTTTGGTAAATTCATCTATCTTATTACTCCTGCTCATTTCTTTCTTTGGATAGTAGGATACACGAAACGTTTCTTTGTTTCTGTGGTGTCAAAACTGTCTTCCTAGATAGACAGGCCTCCTGGCATCGCTTCGCGAGCTCAGCGCGGAGCTGAGCCGCGCTGTTTCACAGCTGGCGCTTGCTCAGCGCAGCGACGCGGCCGGGTGTGCAGAACAGGCACGGCTCCGTCTTTGGTACTCCACGCCACGCAGACGGCGGCCGTGAGTGGTAACTTGTTTCCAACCAAATACAAAGCACAGTACAAACCTTTGGACCTAATTAGTCCCAATCATCTGCGATTGATTAGAGAATCAATGTGTGAAAGGGCTCTGAATCCTCCTCTAAACAGAGGGCTGTCCTACACGGCACGGGTGTCAGCGTGACTTTCCCTCCACCTCTGGAGCGTGGGAGGACAGGGACGGCTTGGTTTTCATTTCAGAGGCCCTGCTGTGTGCCACTGCTCCTCCCCACATCCCACTGCCTCGTCTGGAAACTGCAGGCCGTGTGGCCCAGCAGCCCCTGATGCCTGCCCTGGCTCTGATGGTCTGCGAGGGCCTGTTCAAGGCTCTCTCCCGTGGACGGCTTCCCTGAGGGCTGGTGAACTTGCCAGAAGTCTCCCTGTAATCTGGCAGCCCACGCTTCTCATGAAATCGGACCGACCTATTTCTCTCTGGAGAACTCAAGGCAACTGCTAGGGCCTGCCTCACACAGGGCGAAGTTTCCAGAGAGCTGGCAGCCTGCCCAGGTTTCCTCAGAAAACTGGGGGAGTGTGGAGCCAGGCAATTGTTTTCATACTTTGAGCTCTTCCTTCCTTCCTGTACCTGGAGGGACACAGGGAGTGCCACTTGTGTGCCTTGGAAATTTTCAGATTTGCAGACACCATCATCTTTTAAGGTGAAAGATTCTGAAATGCTACCAAAAAGTAGCACGTGAATAATTGTCAGTGAAGGTCAGTTTCAGATTTCTTTAGGAAAGCCTCATTTCCCCCAAAATTACTGAAGTTGTAAAACAGTTCGCTTCTTGGGTTAAAAAAAATGTCATCACACATATTATAACTAGTTTCCTTGATTATTATTAAACAACCTCTGTGTGCTGGGCCCTGTGTGAGGTACTGAAGGGGGTTCAAAAATGCATATGACAAGATCCCAGATTCACAGCCCAGCCAGGGAAGGAGACAGACACAAATAGCTCGACAGGAGAATTCAGGGAAATACCTCTTTAGGAGACCCAGTGATGGAGAAACTGTTCCTGAGAGCAAGGATGAAGGCACTCAAAGTTGAACAATTCTATGGAAAACTTTTTTTAAATTAAAATCACTCAAGTGCACTCAGAGAAAAAAACAAAATGTGAAGAGAGACTGAGATCACCAGGCTGTTTTTGTGAGTATAGGGTATGTGGCTTACCTGTGACATAAAAGCTTATGTTTCTTTCCACAGTCCCTACTTTATTAGAAGCCATGCAACTGTAGATTCCAGAAATTCTAGCATCAGCCACAACCAAGGTGCTAGCCGTCTGCAAAAGAAAAGTCAACTTTAGCAACCAGGCAAAGAACCATTTATAGATGCATCCCAGTGGTCACAGCAGCACTGTTTACAAAAGCCAAGACATGGAAGCAACCTAAATGTCCATCGACAGATGCTTGGATAGAGATGTAGTATATATACAATGGAATACTACTCAGCCATAAAAAATGAAATAATGCCATTTGCAGGAACATGGACGGACCTAGAGATCATCATATTAAGTCACTCAAAGACAAATATCACATGATATCACCTATATGTGGAATCTTAAAAAAAATTATACAAATGAACTTACTTACAAAACAAATAGGCTCACAGACATAGAAAATAAACTGTGTTACCAAAGGGGAAAAGGGTGGAGGAGGAATAAACTAGGAATTTGGGATTAACTGATACACACGACTATATATAAAAGAAACGAGAACCTACTATATAGTATTGGGAATTACATTCAATAGCTTGTAATAACCTATAATGGAAACAAATCTGAAAAAGTGTGTGTGTGTGTGTGTAATCACCTTGCTGTATACCTGAAACCAACACAACATTGTAAAGCAATGAAATTGAAAAAAAAAGAAAACGACAAAGAACCACTGGAACAGCCATCAGGTCCTTCTGAGGGGAAAGGAGTCGACTGTGCCATCACTCAACAAAGGTAGCATTGCAGTTGGGGTGGTTCCCAGAAACTCTCTTCGCCGAGCCCCAGCAGGAATGGAAAAATAACAGGAAAGCGGGTCCTCAGGAGACCGGGGGCTACAACATCCGACTCATTCGAGGGCTTCAGGCTTATTTATCTGGTGCTGCTGGCGTAACAATTACCAACCTGAGGCTGAGCTGCAGGCCGGCACGTCCTACTCTAACGAGGTGGTCAGCTCCTCGTCAGGGAGAGGGCAGGTGAGGCCCAGGTCTGCCCTTCTGCTGGGAGGACCCACAATCGTGGACACCACGTGGCAAGAGGAGACTCTTTGCTGTTTGGTTCTGTGACGGGTGTGCTAAGTGAGCAAGGACCGAGAAGGGCAGACAGCTCCCTAAGACCCTTGCGTGTGTTTGTAGGTTAGAGTCTCTCAGCCTGTCCATTCGTGCTCTACAAAAGGAAGCTATACGTTATCAATTAACAATATCGTTTTACTAGATTTTAGTGCTGCTGTTTGGCAAATGAGCTCTCACAGAAACACAAGTCATCAAAAATGGGTGACCTTGAAAACACTTTCCAAGCTGTGATGTTGCAAAAAGTGATGTCTCCAAAAAAAAAAAGGGGGGGGGCGGCAGGAATAGCTCAGTGGTAGAGCACGTTCTCAGCATGCATGAGGTCCTGGGTTCAACCCCCAGTACCTCCATTAAAAAATAAACAAACCTAATTACCTCACCCCCCCAAAAAATACAAAAAGTACATTAAAAAGTAATAAGACATGAATTTATACAGCTTAGACTGCCCTTGCTGTCTCCGTTTAAAGATAAAGATTAGCAGTATGAAATGTTGAGAATTAAAAAATTTAACCCAATTGTGCGAAAGAGGGAATGCGTGCTATATATGAAAAAAAAGCTAGTTAAGTTTTTCATATTTAAAATAACAACAAAAAAGTTTGCTCTAGTTATTTATAAATCATTGCAGCCTGTCTCCTCAGACACACAAAACTGGTCACAAACTCTGCAATTGTAGACCAGCGAGTGTCCGAGCTGGAGTGTGACGACCCAGAGACTCACGGGCTAAAGTCATACAGAGGCTGAAATGTGACGACAGACTTTCTAAGACGGTAACACAAATTCTACAAGAGGTCGTAACCCTTTGCTGAGTTGCTAAGCAATGTGGTGGGTACTTTGTGTTCTCGTATCCCTTCCAATAAATTAAGGCATTTCTGTCAGGAAGACTAAAAAATACATGCCTGTTTGTTTTAGCCAGCAAGTTCACTGCTCCCAATTCTCTGTAGTTTTCACTACAGTAAGTATTTCATGATGATTCCTCTTCTGTTTGTTGGATGTTCAATTACATCTACTGACCTAGCCTCTGTGTATTATTGAAAGGATGGGAAGTGAAAGTGTCTGCCTTGGGTGGCACTTTTCATTCAACTTTGCAGACATTTATTGTTTGTGAAGGCACTGTCCAGATGACATGAGGGAGAGGGAGGTTAATCTGATGCAAACCCTATTCTTAACCTCAAAGGACTACTTTAAGGCAACGGGGAAGAATGGCCCTACTTGAAGGTCAGGTGTATATTATTCTCTCTTTGTCAGAGAAACACTCTCACGAAGGCAGATAACCAGTGGAGGAGAGTATGGGGTGAGCTCAGGTGTCTCGTTCTCTATCTTGATTATTAATCTTGACAAGAGGTGGGCAGTAACAAAGTCTGGACAGCTGTTCCTTTTAATGACTACATCTACCACTTCAGAGTCATGGATGAGACGTTAAAGTAGCTGGAAGAGGAGCTTGTAGGTGGCAGTGAGAACGGAAGTATTAGCTGGTGGCGGCCGGAAGGACAAGAGAGACATCAGGTAAGACTGACTCCTGCTTACGGTTACCAGGGGTGGGGACGGATAAACGGGGAGTTTGAGATTTGAAGATATTAACTACTATATATAAAATAGATAAACAACAAGTTTCTACCATACAGCACAGGGAACTATATTCAATATCTTGTACTAACCTATAGTGAAAAAGCCTATGGAAGCAAATATATGCATGTATATGCATGACTGAACTGTTATGCTGTACACCAGAAATTAATGACATTGTAAACTGACTACACTTCAGCTAAAAAAAAAAAGTTTTTTTTTAGTATTTTACACAAGCTGCAAGCTATTTTCCAAATGATAGTGTAATATGGTTTTAAAATATGATTGATAATGCAAAAGTTGTAAATAAGGAAAATTTAGGAATAAGATGGAACTTATAACCTGTGATCAACATTAAAATTTATCTTCTAGAGGATATTTAAGTTATAAATCAAAAGCACATTTTCATGAAAAACAAAAGATTATATGACAACTGATGCACAGATTCTATAGAGGCAGAAAAGGAGGTCAGGTGTGAACTGCAGGTCAGTGTAGTTTGGACCGAAGACAACTTTTTTACAGGACAGAGGTTTTCTGAGTTAAGGGGACAAATCTGATCGCCAGTGCTCGTAACCAAATACTGTTTCAAGAGGGGAAAAAAATGGAGAGAGTAAAACAGTTGGAACACTAAATATCACTTGAGAAAGTATTTCAGACTCAAGATTGAGTTGCAGAATGTGTTTGAAATTAAAATCATACGTTATAAGGGATACCGAAATAAGTTCTCAAGGATGTCTGCTCGTGTTAGTTCTATAATTAGTTTCCGTTTGCCACAATGTTCTTAGTTCCGAACCTACACTTTGGATGCCTCTACTGGCCCGGCCAGGACTGCAAGGATTAAGATATTAGCAACAGACCCTTAAAATCCATCCTCTGGGTCTTTTTGTATGGCCCAGGAACGCTGATGACAACTGTCGTCAGGTCCTGTAAATCTGGAAGTTATTCATACTCCTTCCTTCCTTCCCTTTCGCTAACCCAGTGATTCACTACTACAATGTGGTTGGAACCTCACGGAATAGAATGAATGGGATGCTGTGTGTAATTCAGCCTAATTTCCAGCACTAGCTTTTTAAAAAAATCTATATATGGAACAGTGATTTTAATCTCGGGATGCTTCTAATACAGTTTCCTTTTAAATGTTTCAGGGAGAAATAAAAGCAGATACGTAAAGGTCATGGAAGAATCTAAAATTATCTCAGGGTGGCACATTTGGGCCAACTGATGGGAAAACAGAACGTGAGAACTAGACAAAACTGGGTGGCGTGTGGGAAACGGAACCCAAGCTGTCGTTCTGTGACGAGGTACTCCTGCTTCTGTGATTGGACGTGTCTCTGACGGCACACACATTTCTCAATGAACCCTTAGAAAGATTTAAGGAATGTTGCTAAGATGTTAAATTGTCGCCATCTTCCAGCCTCACAGAATTAATGCTATAAAACGCATGTCCTGTTTTTTTCCCCCCTCACACAGGGTTCCCTCTGCTTCCTACTCCATCTCTACAAACCAACAGTCTGGCAACTGCACCTAAACAATACCAAAGCTGCACATCTGCTAACAGCAGCTCCAACTGCTGACTCACTTTTCACAAATCTAGGCCAAAACCTGGCCATAAGGAAACTGAGTTTTATTGTCCTCGGCACCCTTCCTTGGGTTAAACAAAACAAAACACAACAGTGAGGGGAAAAATCCTGTCCCTGAAATCCAACAGGTGGTCCAGCAGGACCTCGCTCCACTGCTGGCTGGAGTGGGGCTGCCGGATGTGCTGACTACATACATGCCTGTGGGTCGAGGGGTCACTGCGCTCTAAGCTAGGATTTTAATTTGCTTTCTTAAAATGTACAGAAAATAAAAGCAGTTTTAATTGTAAAGACCAGTGCAAAGAATTCTGAGATAGCAAAACTTCCATTTGTCATTAGATTTTTTTCACACATACACAAAAATATATTTATAGATGCTAAAAGTAAAATTAGTAAATTCTTCTAAATTTAGGACAAGTTAATAACATAGTCTAATGTTAGTTACTGATAGGATGTGTGTGTGTGTGCGTATATACATATACGCACACACACACAGTTTGGAAGGAGTATTCAAAGTTTTTTCAGTGCAAACAGTCTTCATTGTATATGTTCAGCCAGTTTGGGGGACTGCAGCAGGGTATATATGACAATCTTTATAACAGGCAAATGAGGTAGGTCAGATAGGAGCTCCATTTTTCTGGAGGAGGAAACTCAGGTTCGGAGGGGTGAACTGATTGCACGTGGTTACGCACACTAGAAAGGGCAGAGCTTAACCCACGGCTCCTGACTGCAGGCTGGACGGCACCAGGGCCAACTGTGTCTGGAGGTGCATATTTAAAACCTCTGTATAACTACAGAATTACAAGACAATAAATTTGGCTCAAGCATGCATGAAAAAAAAGCAGGTACGTTTATTTCATGCAGGGCTTTTTTTTTTTTTTAAGCTTTTTTTATGGGAGTGGGGAGGTAACTAGGTTCATTTCATTTTTTTATTAATAGGGCTACTGGGGATTGAACCCAGGACCTCATGCATGCTAAGGATGCCCTCTACCATTGAGCTATACCCTCCCTCTCACCCAGGTTTTCTTAACTCTACTCCCATCTTTTTTTTTTAATCTTCTTCTTTTAAATAGTTACTCTGTATGGAATCAGGTTGCTGTTTCATGGTTCAGGCTAAGCAGAAATCTCACCTAGTCTTTTCATTTCCACTTTCTTTTCTATTGCATATTTAGGTGGCTGGGATACCAAAATAGGACTAGAAGCTACACTTGAAATGAAGCTCTTAAATTCTTGTTTTACTATCCGGCAGTTCACAGTGCGACCACCTGGTCTGGTCAGGAAAAGGCAAGCCTGCACTGACAAGCTCAAGGGCATCTTGGAGTTTCCTAGTACGTCGTGACCCCTCGCTTGCTTTCTACTCTGGGGCAGTTTCCTTTCTTGTCATGTAGTGTCACTCAAGTTAAAACTTTCAGGTTTACAGAATTTCCTCTTTAAGTATTTCATTAAGCTGCTCCCTTACCTAGAGCCACACATCATGGAGCGTTTTAGAGAAAAGGAGCTGTAAGCCACCCACAGCGATGGCTGTAGCTAAAACGACTGTTCCTAAGTGAACAAGTGACTGCCGATATTATCAGGCAGGCGATCAGCACCTTAACTAATTTCTGTATTGGCTTAGTTGGCAGAGCACTAGATTTTGGCAAAGAAAGACTTTGGTTTGAGTTTCTCATATGCCAGTTTTTTGTTTGTTTTTTAAATTCTCTTTGTCCATTTTATTTTATTATTATTATTTTGGTGGGGGTAGGTAATTAGGTTTACTTATTTTTAATGGAGGTATTAGGGATTGAACCCAGGACCTCTTACAGGCTAGGCATGCACTCTACCACTGAGCTACACCCTCCCCCACCTCATATGCCAGTTTTAAGTTGTATGACTTTGAATTAATCATCTTATTGCCTCAGTTTTCCTCATCTTTAAAATGGAGATAAACACTCTGGCCTGCCAAAGAATGATGCAGACATTAGCATAGGTCACAAAGTTTTACAGAATGAAGAATCCAGGTGTGATTTGTTATTGTTAAGCCCTACATGGGTGGTGGAGGGAAAACAGCTCAGTGGCAGATCTTAGCATGCTTGAGATCCTGGGTTCAAGCGCCAGTACCTCCACTGGAAAAAAAAAAAAGCAAACAAACAAAACTCAGTAATCAAGTCCTACATGGAGAACAAGGCCACCCACCTTGTTGCCTTCAAACGCAAAGAAGGTAGCTGAACAGGTAACACGAGCATAACCAAACTAAAGCAGATGGTGTCTGTGTTAAGATCATTCGAAATGAAGACATGCATGTGTAAGTAGACATTTCAGCAAGTGGTGATTTGATCAATTTTTTTTCTTTTTAAAGCATCCCTACCCCTGGGGCCTGATAATAGATGTTTGAGTGTATTTTTCACTCATTCAACAGAGAAACAAGCCGCTAGGTCTGAGACCTGCTGAGATCTGCCTGGCTCCCGAGCTGTCAGCTCTGGCCGCGTCTAAGGAAGCTCGGGGGCGTGAACGAAGTATGTGCGAGAGGGGCTTTTCTACATGCCTGCCAGAGCCCGGTTAGGTCAGGGAATTTTGTTCTAAACTGAGGTATAAGTGACAACATTATATTGGTTTCATGTGTACAACATAAAGATTCAACATTTGTATATATTGCAATATGATGACCACAGTAAGTCTAGTTAACATCCATCAAAATATGTAGTTAAAATTTTTTTCCTGTGATGAGAAATTTTAAGACCTATTCTCTTAGCAACTTTTAAATATGGATTTTAGTATTATGATTGTCCCAGTGCTGTACATGATATCCCAATGGCTTATTTATTTTTTACCTGGAAGTTTGCACCTTTTGGCCCCTCTTCACCCATGTATCTACCCCCGTACCTCCTGCCTCTGGCAACCACCAATCTGTGAGCTTGGTTTTTTGTTTTTTTAGTTCACATATAAGGGAGGTCATACGGTGTTTGTCTTTCTCTGCCTGACTTACTTCATTTAGCATAATGCCCTTAAGGTCTGTCCGTGTTGTCACAACTGGCAAGATTTCATTCTTTTTTATGGCCAAATTATATTAGATTGTGTATCTCTACCACATTTTCTTTATCCATTCATCCATCAATGGACACTGAGGTTGTTTCCATATCTTGGCTACTGTAAGTAATGCAGCAATGAACATGTGGGTGCAGATACCTTTTGAGTTAGTGTTTTTGTTTTCCTCAAGGGTTTCTACCCAGAAATGGAATTGCTGGATCACATTGTGGTTCTGCTTTTAACTTTTTAAGGAACCTCCATACTGCTATCCACAGTGGCTGTATAATAACACCAATTATGTTGCCACCAACAGGGGACGGGGGGTTCTGCACATCCTCACCCACATCTATTACTTCTTGTCTGTTTGACGACAGCCATTCTGACAGCTCATGGTGGTTTTGATCTGCATTTCTCAGGTCAGGGAATCTGATATACTGTGTGTGTTTTTCTACCCCAACTGAGTGAGGCTTTGTCCTTGCAAAGACAGAGGGGAAAACAAGACATGAGGTGAAATGGGAACATTTGATTTTAGCCTACACTCTTGTACTACCATTTGCTTGTTTACATCCCACTTGATAAATGCCAGAGATTCTCAGTCCTGGTTATGCTAGAATCTCCCAGGGAGCTTCTGTGAACCCTGGGCTCCACCTTAAAGCTTCTGTGATCTTTTATTTATAAATAGTTGGTAGAGTAGTAATAATTGGTGGAGCACACTAACAGGCAGCCAGGGCCGAGAGCCACTGATGGGGGCCAGTCGGATGTTCAGGAGGCTGGTTCCACCTCTTCCACTGGGACCAAGTGCCCGTTCCCTTGGAACCGGTGGTCAGCTGGTGAGTACAGCAGTTTGTGAAGTCTGAAGACATACTGCCTTTCTTCTCTCAGAATTTTTGTTTCAGCTTTTGAATTACTTCCGGCTCCCATTAACCCAGAACTGGAAGCTGAGTGCGTGTTTTTGGTTTAAATATCCCAATACTTTTTTTTTTATACAAACAATACCTTATTCTTTCCTTCTATTACTGTCGTGCGCTGAGTGATGCTCTCAATTCTGTTTCCTACGTTGCTGTCAGCATCCAGGATAAGGGACTCTTCATTACTTGAGCAAAAGTCATACCTATTTTTAAAGAAAGGAAGTCATCACTATGTTGCTTTGCAGCCTGGTCCAGCCCATGGTAATGCATGAAAAGAAAATCATTAAGTCCTCAGATAACAGAGTCACACATTTTCTTCTTTTCCTTAGATTCCTCCCCCCTACTAATATCTATCCTCAAAACTTAAAAGTAGCAAACAGATTTTACCTGATCTGGGGAAAAAACCCTACACCAGTGTCTCTCCATCCATACCTTCCTGTTCTAAATGTTAAATATTAAATAAAAATGCATATTCAAAAATTTAGCGTTTTGATTTTAATTAGTTCCTAGTGGAGGAGACATGCAAACACAGGGAAAAGAACGAAGTTACGTTAACGAATAGAAACCTCAGGGAAATAAGCATTTTACATCTATAAAAGGCTGGCCTTTAATGAGAAGACTCCATATTACAGCTAATTTTTTCCAGGGCTAATTAAGTGTGTATGGAAACGCACATCACGGAGCAGTTATTATATTCAGTCTGTTTCTTTTTGGGTTTTGGGGGCCATGGCAAACTCTGCAACGTCTCAAGCCTCAAGTATTATAAGTGTGTGAGGTTATCTTTAAGATCTTTTTTCCTTCTAAAAGTCTACAAAGTCTTACTAAAGCAGCTGGGGGGTACCAGACCTACATCTGGACCTTAGCATGGTCTTTCCAACGCCTTATCATCAGCAGATTTCTGTCCTCAGACAGTTTACTCCCCAGGTTATTGGTGTAAATCTCTGTGGATTGTTTATTATGTCCGACGTACCCGAGGTTATGCAGGAGTCAAAAATCCAAGCAACGAAAAAGACACTCAAGTCCACTCTAACCCAGGAGGGGCAGTAGTACCTTGACTGGCCTCGCTGTGCTATGGCTTTTCCCAAGTCAACACCCACAGAACTGCCAGGCCAACCCTCTGACGGCCTGGGTTCTAGGGGAATCCTTTTTGCTCCAGAAGCTTCCACAACTGCCCTGAAGAAGGCCTGGGCTCCTGTGACTGACAGGGCCGCCCGCAGGTCAGTCCCGACCGGCCGTTCCCGCCTCGCCCGTACAGGCACCCCTGGTCCCAGGTAAACCGCAGTTTGGTTCAGCTCCTCCCAAGAAGGCCTGCGTTGTAGTCTCACCCCGACTTCTCCTAGCTGTATGAGTTTCCTGCTCTTAAAAACAAGACCAAAATGCCACCTGCCCTGTTAGCCTCATGGGATTAGACAAGCACTAAATGGCTTAATTTGCTCGGAGCAGCTTTGTGACTTACAGGCACTGTAGAAAAGTGAGAGACTATTCTTCCTGTGTCACAAAGGGCTGCAGTTGACCTCCATCCTCACTCACCAGCGTTCCATAAACATTTGTAGACATACAGGCCTGGGGCTCTGACACATATTGTTTCTAGTAGGAATTTTCATTGCTTTTCATTATTTTCAGACATATTGATGAGCAGAGACATAGCATCACCCATCACCCAGACTTAATAATTACCATGACTTTGCCAACTTTGTTTCATCTACCCCAATTTTTAAATTATTTTTGTGAACTATTGAAAGCATGTCATTTTAGCCCCATTTTAGTGCATGTGCCTAAAAATTATACACTTTTTCTAATTCAATGACAACCCCATTATCATACCTAATAGCATAAGCAGTAATTCCCTGGTGCTGTCTGGACCTGATCCATACATCAGATTCCTCCGAATGTTTTTAAAATGTCTGTTTTTTACAGTTTAGAGTATAAGATTGAAAAAAAAAAAAAGGACTAACCATTCCTTAAGGAATTTCTGTGATTTTGACCAGCAGTTCCTTATAATCATCAGGTGAGATAAATGAACAGCCTACCTCACCGATTAGTAGAGAAAACGGAACCAAAGAGAATGACATACTTTCTCCTTTACTGGACGTACTTCAATGATAAAGTTTTAAAGTCATGAGACAGGTCATTTTGCCTTATTTTTTTACCACCAGTATCCTCCATTCTCTAGACGAGAACACCTGTTTTGAACTCCTGTTTGATCTCACATCTTTCACGCTCGCAGGGGCCCGTGTGCACAGAGGTAATGGACGTGAACGCCTCGAGTCGTACTTGGTACTGTGACGCCTACGAGCTGAAGCTCTCTGCACCGGAAAGAGCAGCTTTTAATTTCATCCTTTTTTCCTCCAAGAAGTAGAAAAGAGAAGGGAGGCCTTAGACAAAGCTCTTAATTTCATGCTCTTGGTTGTCAGGAAATGCAAAGAAATTCGCTGGAGTAAAGCAAGTCGAGGCATTTCCCGAGGGAAACGCAGTCGGCTGCCCAAGTTCACTCGGGGCCGTGGCCGCCAACCTCCACCCGCCACCCATCCCCTCCCCCCGCCTGCCCATCACTCTAAGGGCAGCTACTGACTTGCACAAGCTCTGGTAGAGAGACTACAGGCCAGACTGCCTGCTAGCTCCTCCAAACGAAAAGGACAGATTCTGTGGCTCTTTTCCAACTTGGGGCCTGTTATTTTTCCCTCTTTGTCATTGGAACCATAAAAATAGAATGTCATTTAGGAGCCTGACTATATAACAGCACTTGAAAAGAGATTTAGGGGGAGGGGGATTTGCCGCAGCCTTAAGAATACATCAAGCTCTTAAGGAAGTAGATTGTGCCATGTTTGAAGATGCAAAGATAATCACTGTGCTGGGAACCGTCTTGAGGGGGGAGGAAATCGAACAACAAGAGGAAAGCGGCGTTCGCTCCTGATTTCGCACAGGAAGCCCTCAGCACCTCCTGCCAAAGGGAGATAAGAAAGCTCCCAGGCACTGTTCTGGACAAGGCCACCGTTATCAACCTCAGCTCCTCGCCGTCCTCTCGGGGCTCCAGGCCCCGGGCCTGTCCTGATGAGCTTTAGGACTCCTACCTCCATTTGCATGCCGCGCGCCAAGGACAATATCGTGGAGGTATTTATAACCTTGGAGAGGCGGGGCAAGGTTTCTGGGGTAAGAGTGTACTCCGTGTCATCTCAGCTGCCCCAGAGTGGAAACAAATTCGTTTCAGACTAGAGATTGATGAAAATAAATGAAAAGACTGCAGCCAATGACGCCTCCAACACACGGAGCTGGGACCCTCCACATGACACAGCAGTCCGTCGAATGCCACGTGGGAGACACCTGTGAGGCTCTCCCCTCTGGTCAACGCCACCAGACACATGGTGGGGAAGCACCTCCCTCCGTGGGTGAAGAGGATGTTACTGACCGTGTTACACGCTCTGGGTTTTTTTCCTGTCGCGCTAATGGATTCGCCCTGTTCCCTCCATGCTCATAAATATCTGACTCCTCGGTGGCCAAAGATGAAGGCAGACCGGGGCCAGAGCAAAGGCAGAGCCAACCCTGGGACTCAAGCTACAATCTTGACAATCTTGACTATCTTGACTGCCGGTTCCAGCCAGCAAGCCACAGGTTGTAATATTTATACCAAACACTATGTGATAATACACTCTACTGTCATTTTCTACTGTGCTAAGTGACTCATACACACTGTCTCACTGATCTGTACAACATCCTGAAAAGTAGGCACTGTCACCCCCTGTTTAACCGATAAGGACACTGAGGATTAGAGAGGTTAAGGAAGTTAACCTAAAGGCTAAACAGCTAGTCAGTGAGCAGCAGAGGCAGAACCCGCCATCCTGGAGTCTGCGCACGGAACCTGCACACCGCGTGTGATGTGACACCCGTGGTCTCGCGTCTTCTGAAAACAAACTGTTCTACGTTAGCGCTTCTTTGTATGT